CAGATTTGAAATGATTTTAAACGAGTTCGGATCATAAATGAGTCGACACGATTAATTTATTTAGTTAATCGTGTCGTATTTGGGTTGAGGGATTTAACCCGTATAACTTATTTATACACGTTTAACTATACGTGCCATAAATAAATTTATATTTAAATTCCAAAATTAATATATAAAATTGTGTCTAATAATTTACTCTTTTGTAAACTAAAAACTATTTAGTAATTTAGTGGGATTAAAACTTATATTTTTCTTTTTCTGTTTTCTCTTCTTATTCATTTTTTATTCACTTATTCTAATGTATTGTTTTTACACTATTATATTTTCGGACTGTTTGAAAATAAATTTTTTTGTCAGTATTAACATGTCTCTTGAACCAAATTTTTGGGTCCGCCCTTGACCATAACCAAGATACCTTTGATGGAATATGTGTGTTTTAATGTAAAAAAATACGAATTTTGAGTTTTCCAATGCTATTTAAATATATTATTGATTCAGGAGCCTCAAAAGTGTAGGAGAGATATATGTTAATATACCAGAAAGAGAAAAAAGGAGACCATTATTGATACTTTTTCTAAACGCAGCAAAATTTAAAACCAAAAAAAAGAAGAAGAAAATAATCAATTTAGAATTTAATCCAATTCAATTTTCTCCGTCTTTTTCTCAGTTTCGCATTATAATCCAATTCAATTTTCTCTATTTAAGCAACATTTTATAGCAATTGTTCGCGTTAGCTTAGAATTTATTATTATTATTTTTACCAATTTACCATGGAAACTTGTTGTTGGTAAAGTAAATTATAGGTCTAAATAATCCTATGTTACGTTTTTTTTGTAGTGGGAATTTTTGCTTAGGGTCAAGCGCAAAAAATACTATCACATCTTCACATACAAAAAATATCTTTAAAATTTTAATTTGGTGCAAATAGATCACTCTGACAAATTTAAACCTCAAGTTGACTAAATTTCCCTTACTGAACCATTTTATAAAATATATAAAAATAAATAATTTTATAAAATGACCGAAAATGACATTAGTGAAGGACGCCCATCACATGCAAAAAACACCAATAAAGTTTCAAGTTGATACAAATAGGTCCCTTTGATAAATTTAAACCTAAGTTGATTAAACTACCCTTATTGAACCATTTAATGAAATACATAAAAATATATAATTTTGTAAAATGACCGAAAATGACATCGGGCGTTGGAAATAGACAAACAAAGATAAAAATAGAAAATAAAAATAAAAGTATAAAAAAAGTAAAGATAAAAATAGAAAATAAAAAGCAAAAATAAAATGCAACCTAAAAAAACAAATCTACTCCAAACTTCGAAAATATATATATATATATATATATATCAGTGTGCAATGGTTTTCGAAGTTTGGAGTAGATTTGTTTTTTTAGGTTGCATTTTATTTTTGCTTTTTATTTTCCATTTTTATCTTTACTTTTTTTATACTTTTATATATATATATATATATATATATATATATATATATATATATATATATATAACAGTGTTGATACGAAAAATAAAAAATAAAAAATAGTAGAATTAAACTGAAATATCAAAAAAATTCAAATCCTTGTCCTACAAATTCTCAAAGTTAAAAAAAAAAAAAAAAAAAAAAAACATATAAAGGTAATGTGCTCATAACACCCCTATATTATGAGATTAGTAGCATATATACTCTTTTGGACATTTTTGAAAAAATAAAAGCGCAAAATAAGTATTACAACACTAATTTATGTCGGTTTTTGATTAAGGAGTATTTTTGTACAATGTGAAAAGATTAAGAATATTTTTTACATAATTTTTTAAATAAAAGATAAAAGTGATACGCAAAATATATTTTAAAATATTTTCAGCACTAGTTCCGTTTGTTTACTCAAAATCGTTTTTGTATGAAATTGAATTGTCCCACATTTGAAAAATAAGGAAAAGTGTGTGACTTAAGTGGCTCTACCACCTTGACATTGGGGTTTAGACCCCAAGATGCAATGCAATTTTGTGGACGGACAGATTAACCCCAAGTTAGGTCTAGCCCATACGAAATCCAGATGGAATACACGTGTTAATTTCATCAATTTCAACCAATTGGCAATATGCTGATGGAATACACGTTAATTTCGACCAGTTGGCAATGGGGTACTTTTCGTCTATAATAGGGACATTATGGGAACTTTCTTCAACTTTAAAGTACGTCTTGATAAAGGGCATTATGGGAAGTTTGTTCAATTTTAAAGCGTTCTATGTTGGCTAAGAAATTTATTATTATAGTTTCACTAGTGTTATTAAGGAGCCAATTGAGCCACTTCTCAATGTTAAAGCTTTATATTATTTATTACATAACCAATCCAATGACTTTTTCATTCTTTCATGAGAATGAATAAATCAACCGCATCTCATATTTGAAACTTTTATTTAGGGAAAAAAAATGACAAGTAATAAAATTTGTAATATCTAAAATCACATACATATATAAATAATTTTATTTACCAAATGTAAATTCATTTTTAATCACATGCACCGCATATGCATTTTAGATAAAATAAGTTAAAAGAAATTTTATTAGTAAAATTATAAATGTTCTTTGTTCGATTTATTTTTTAGTAACCAAACTTACATTTTGCTTTTTTTCCACCTTTTCCTTAAGTAATCAAGACAAAATATTAATTTTTACTTAATTGTGTGTGGGAAATGTAGGATGCTCGTGTGGAGAAAAATTATATTGCGTCATTTGTATTGGTGACATGGTATCGTTAACTGATTAAATACTGGTACGTAGTGATAGGACTAATTAAAATAAATTAATTTAAAAAAAAAAAAAGATAATGATGGTATGAATGACAATTGGACTCCTGCTATATTAGTTTCTTTTTATTTTTGCAAAATCTCAATTGAAAAATTTCATTCAAATATAACATATATTGCTTTAGAGACCGGAAGAGCACTAGATTGAGCATATGTAAGGGTGACAATATGCAAATTGAGCATATAAACCAATTCAATTTTCTATCTTCAGTTCTCAATTTTGCAACGCAAACTAATTCAATTTTCTCTATGTAAGCTACATTTTATAGCAGTTCTTTATTTGGAGTTACCAAAGAAAACATATATGGAGCACATATTTTTTCTTCTTAACAATTTATCAAAGAAATTAAACAAAATTTGATCTAAAATTGAGTAAGTGTCACTGATAGTGATAGTAAGTTTACGTTGCGAGAGTACAAGAACATAGTATATTTACTTACTCGAAATTACTTTAGGTATATATTTGATCACGATTTAAAGCGATAAAAATAGGCTGTCCCACATTGAAAGAATAAGAAAAATTGCGTGCCTTAATATTTAGCTCCCAACAAAATCGTTTGGAAACGCGTCCAACTTCTGACGTTAAAATCTCGAGAGATTAAAAAATAGGCTGCCACTGTCCTAAGTTTCTGACGCGACCCAGGCATGGAAAGTTCTCGTCCCACCTATCCTGAGTTTCCAGGTGGGCATGAGAAGATCCATTTTGCCTCTATAAAAAGTTACAAAAAATAGGCTGCTCTTCAACCCTTGGATCTATATGCTGCTGGTTGAAGTTTTCTGAGTTCTCTCCCTTCATTTGATATCTGAAAAATGACCTCTCCTCAGAGAGTTCGGAGGAGAGTTGTGTGGGTGACACGTAGGCTTCACAGCAGAAGGTTTATATTCTCTCCCCCATTTCTTTTTTTTTTTTTTTTTTTTCTTTTTCTTTTTATATCTTGAACTAATTTACATTTCATTTTTTTTCTTTTTCTTTTTCTTTTTCTTTTTATATTTTGAACTAATTTAATTTTCAATGTGATAAATTCACGTGCAGGGATCAACAAGGAATCAAATTATCCTCACCATGCCATGCCATCTTCAAGTGTCTTATTTCAACGCTAATTGCGCTGCTTGCTGTGCAATCTCAAGGTAAAACAATGAACCCATTTGATACACACACGTTGAATGTTTGGGCTTTTTTCACATCCATATGCATCTATTGCACGTTCTTGGGATTTATGAAAGAAATGCAATATTACGAGTGGGTAAGAGCGAAAGGGTACTCTAAAATCTTGGGCCATGTCATTCTTGCTTCGGGTACACTTTCTGCAGTGTCACTTGTAACTGTTTTTCTCCCGCTTTGGATTGGGTTGCTCTTTGTTATCATTTGGGCAATTTTGATGTCTCATCGGCTCATAGCTCATACTTGCCAAGTGATCTGGGAAAAGATCATGAAGGGAGTTTCTTATACGGTGGATTTATACTTCCAGATCATTGCCGGCAAATCGACCGAAGCGCAACGTTCACCAGTTTAATTCTCCTTTGATATTGGAGGACCAAGTTCGCAGCATATGTTTTTTTAGTAATTTTATGTTACTCGTATTCTATTTTGTAACAATTTGTTTGTGTACTTTTAGATAGGAAAGAAAAAATATAATATGTTGCATATAGGGATCCGTATAGGAAAAAAAAAATAGTATGTTGTTCATAGGGATCTATATGGTGCACATTTTGTTTTTCTATTTTTGTTTTAATTTAAAATAAAACAGTGTTTTGTTGTAAAGTGTTTTGAATAGGAATCGAAAATATGCTGCTGGTAAAGTCCATTTGTTGTAAAAAATTTAGAAGCAAAAATATGAAAATATGTTTTGTGAAAAAGTTTTACAAGTTTGAAAAGTATAATGGTTAGTTTTAAAATGTAATTTAAGAGTTTTTCAAAAAAAAATTTTTTTTTTTTTTTTTTTTATACAGTATCAATTGCTAACATGTAAAAACACTTATTTGGTATTTTGATTTTTTGCCACTATTCACGAAATATTTTGGTACGGTGTAAAAATAAACAATTCTCAAAAAATTATTTTTAGAAAATTATAAAAAACAATTTTATGAAAAAGATCTTTTTATTTCGATGAAATACAAAAATACTAAAAACAAAACGCATAGCATACCAAACATGCCCCTGACTTTTGTTTGATTTGGATATAATAAAACACCTAAAAGCAGTAAAAATTACTATCCAGAGACTGGCCTACACAATACAATTTTATAGTTACAACCCAGAAAAAGCATAAAAATAATAACTCTTAAAAGCAGTAGGAGCAGCCAATATCAACAAAAGTGACCGGCCATATTAGCAATCAAATAGCCCAAAGAACTTGATTCAAGCAATCCATGGATAATTCAGAAGTAAAACAACAACCAACTAAATCACCAAATAATTTGTACAAACATTGGCCTATCACCACGGGCCCAAATGAATGATCAAAGTGGATGTAGTGTTTCCTGAGGAAAAGCCCAAATAGACTGGTTTGACCACCAGAAGGATGAGAGCCACTGTATTGGGAAAAAAAGATCCATGAATTCGACCAAAAACTATAGTAGCACTTTGCTTAAGACAATTGACCAGAACAACTAATATAGAAAAGGAGAGGTGGGTCACATCAAATATTAAACGACGTGGAAATTATTATTCTAATGTATATTACTTTAAAAATGAGAAGAGATTTTGTGAAGGTAAATCAGCAACAGGGTAAGAAAGTGCTTGTGTGAATATTCATTTGCAAACATCATTTAGAAACCACTATGTCTGCGCAGTTCATAAAAATAATTTTACTTTTTTACATCATATTCACTAGAACATGCTTGCCAACATTACTACTTTCTTTCCTCATCTTTATGGATTCTGTATATCACACATTAACATTCATAATATCTCACGGATCTAAATAATGAAATATTATTCACATTTCAAGACCACGTGGCTGCCTTTGCCTCACCTGTATTAGTCACTTTAGTCTCCACTCTTAGTTACTTTTGACTTTAGTTTATTAGTTATATAACAAAATTAAATATATTATACATATATTATATATATAAATATATAATACATATATTATACAGTTCCGGTTCTTACCGGTTTTCACGGGTTGGAACCGAAACCGTATGTCAACGGTTCCGAATTTAGGAACCGGAACCGGAACTGTGAGAACCGTGAAAAACGGTTCTGATTCTCACGGTTCTGGTTCCACGGTTCCGATTCTTTTATGCACCCCTAGATGAGAACCTCAAGGGCCGATCTTTATTGGGAATAAAAGATCCATGAATTCTACCAAAATTATAGTAGCACATTGCTTAAGTGTTGGCATGACATCTCATTATTTTCTTGTTTTAAGTGTTGGCATGACATCTCATTATTTTCTTGGCATTCACTGGGGACATCTCCCTTTCCTAAAAAGGTATGTTCTGATTTCATAACAACTCTATAACAAACAAAGTGGACTGCAGAAGATAAACCCTCACTGACTCATCACTTTGAGAAATTTTATTGGTCTGTACAAGGCAAAAGCCTAACCAAGAACCAGGAGATATTATTTCTAAAGTTCCACCACTTCCAAACAGTTTGTTAAAGGTTTGGGCTCTATTAAAAGGAGAACCCTAAGCCGTTATCAAAATTTTAGGAAAACTTATCAAAAAAATACAATTCAATAACCCAATTTGGGTCACATAATCAGGAATTCCTCTTTCTTTTTAAATAAGGATGTTTGATTTCACTGTTTTCTTTAACTATACTTACTTTTCACATATTTAAATTCATAATATCTCATGGATCTAAATAATGAAATATTATTCACATTTCCATGGTTGGATTAGCCCTACAAGCTTGCAGTCAAGCAATCAATAATTTGCTCTACAAGAATACTTGCCTTAACCCAGTACCGATCCTTCCAACAGATGCTGCTATCATCCTGTGAATATACACCAAAAATTTAAAAGCATGAGTACATAAACTATTTAACAGGGTAGGCTGCCAAAGTTATCCATATTCTTAGGCTGTCTAATTGCAAATTAAACTACTAAATCAAGATATAATTTAAGCTACCAAGAAAGTTATACCCTCAGCAATAAATGAGTATACACCTTTTTATTCCTTTCTTTAACACGCCTAAATTAGTGGTTGGAGGAGGAAAAACTCCTGAAATTCAGAAGTCCAACCAACTATAGAATGAATAATGACTTGTAAAATTTCAAATGCTAGTTTAAAAGATGATCACTCTTAAAAACTGTAGAATCCTTCATCACTAGGCAATTGCATATTCCTAAGGTACAAGATTCAATAGTAGTTAATTTAGGCTTGTTTGGTGTTCGGGAAAAGAAATCTAGGAAATTAATTTTTATAAAACACCAGCACTTGATACTAGTCATCTATTTGATAAAATCGATTTTAGGACCACATTTGGAAGCAAATATGCTGGATATATGAATCTTTTCTATCTCATGCAATGCAATTACATCAATAACATAGAAGACGAATTAATAATCCGCAATGGATGCCGCCTAATCCAACAGCATGAACTCACTTCTTATTATTATGATGCTGTGATGAAGCCTCAAGAGCTTGTATGGAACGACAATTCCAATGAATAACACACATATGCAGATTGTATGTAACAAACCTCGTAGAGCTTGTATGGAACGACAATTCCAAGGCAAAGAGTGAGCCAAAATGGTGTGTAGATAAGAAAAAATAACTCGCCCCATCTCTTGCTTGGATTGGGAGCAAACCACAAACTCGAACTACAAGAAGCTACTTCGCTACCTGTGAATATATACATATACATCAGTGTAATTTTGTCAAGAAATTGCTGAAACTCTGGAGAGTGTCAAAGTACAAAACCCTAAGAAAACCCTAATTTGGAGGAAAATGAACTTACCTCCCATTTCGTTAATTGGGAGATCTAACGCTTTTCTCTCCGATGGACCTCAGACACAACCGAACTGAACTGTGAGTAGAGAAGGCTCAAATGCGTTGACCTTATGACTTTTATTTTTAAAGTCAAAAATACCCTCTGGTATATATGGAATAACAAATTTTACCTTTTAGCACGTGACCTTTTTATGAGTTACCTTTTAGGGCATTGTAAATACATTGAAATTTGTTTTGAAAAATCTAAATTGAGTATAAGAAGAAATATGAATGTTTATTTTCATTATAAAAGTTTTCTTCTTTTTTTCAAAATATATATATATATATATATATATATATATATATATATATTGATCTATATCATACATATATCTATTTTATCAAATGATGTCATAGCATGATGGGAAGGTGTGCGTAAAACATACACACATATCATGTTTCGTCGTATTGGTGGATATGAGTTGTACGGTCCGGTTCGTAATCTTTTTTAAATAGTCTGATATTATTACACACCACCATAAATCAAGTAATTTAAATTGATATTCGTCTGAATTCATTACACCACGATTACAATCGATGTTGAACTGCAAACCATGGCTTATATATAACACTTCTTTTTAGCATGAAAAAGAATGCAAGAGTACACGTATTAAAAGATCAAATCATTGGCAGCTTTTGTAATGGTCCTAATGGACCTTGTCTTTCTATTCAATAGGAGGGGTTGAGAGTGTGAACATTTTTTTGGACAAGCGTGAGTTAGTTTAGAAGTGGAACAAATAAGGAAAAAATGCATAAAAGTATAATTTACTGACATCTTTAGGAGTTAAGTGGTACAATTTCCTCTGATGTTCTTGTGATTGAGTTTTTATTTTCTTTTCTACAATCTGTGATTTAGAAGAAAAAAAAGATTGATTTTCAACTAATCTAAAACTATAATTTGCATAAATGTATTAGAGAAAGTATATATCTAGTTTGTAATTTCTCTTTTTATTGTCTTTTTATTTTTTGAGGATATTATTGATTATAAAAGTGAGAAAAAAAAATTAGGTGCAACACTCTAGGACTCTAGGAAGCAGATACTTCTCTCAAGGTGTCGTGCTGGTATCAGAAACTTAGACACTTTCTGATAGTGTCCGGATACCTGATGATATGACATGGCCAAAAATATAGAACTAAATACAATTTAAAATATATTATGGATTAATTAAAAAATAATCTAAAATTTAAGAAAACAAAAATAATAAAAAATTTACCTCCAAATTATTGATTTATTTATGATTCTACAATTAAAAAATATATATATTATTTAAATATATAATAATATATTATATTACTATTAATTTTTGAGGTATTTATGCCGTATCTGTGTGTCCATATCGTGTCGTATCCGTATTTAATATCCATATCGTGTCGTATCCGTATTTAATATCCATATCCGTGCTTTCTAGGTAGCACTCATTGGTGAGAAAATTAGAGAGAGTAAACAAAGATGGTTTGGATACTTGCATCTAAGCTAGTGAGTCAAAAGAGGAAGATTAGTTATAATATAATGCAAGAGAGGAGGAACGAAAAAAAATAAAAATAAAAATTAGGGTAAATTACACTTAGACTTCATGAGGTTAAGTCATTTCTCACTTAAATGGAGATTTTGGTTTTAATTTTCACTCATATTTAAAAGAGTGATTTCGTATTTTACTTAGGGCCAGTTTGGTAGGAAAGTAATGGAAGGAAAAGAAAAGAAAGGAAACGGAGGGTGATGGGATTTTGTGTTAGGGTGAAATATGAGAAAGAAAAGAAAGAAACACAGGGAACGGAGGGATTCAATTTGGTTCCACAGTAATTTTTGTTATCCTCCCAAAATTGGGAGGAAACGGAAGGAAAGAGCAACAAAATTTTGTAACTACCAACTTGTCCAAATTGATTTGTTGAATTAAAAAAAAAAAAAAAGTTAGTAGTTGGAGAGAGAGAGAGAGAGAGAGAGGGGGGGGGGGGGGGGGGGGTTGTAAGGTTGAAGAAGACAATAGCTGAAGCTTACGAACGGCGAACCCAAACCAGAACGGCGAACGGCGATGGAAACTGAAAGATATGGGTTTTGATTTTTTGAACAATCTGAAATGATATGCCGATATGGGTTTTGAAATTTTGATTCTTGTAGACAGATAGATAAACTGAAAGATATTGGTTTTGATTTTTAGAATAATCTGGAATGATATGCCGATTTGATTTTTATAGATTTTGTAGGTTTGCAGTTGGGCGCCGAGGGGGGCTAAGAATATTAATATTTTTATATATTACATAATTAAAATTTTAAATTTATCTTTTAAAATATAAAAGTGTATACTAAAATATTTTCCTTTCCTTCACTAATCAACTAAGGGTTAAAATTATCCTTCCATTCCCTTTCCCTCATAACTAATGTTATCCTCTCTCTTGAAATTCACCGTACCAAACATAGCCTTACATCCTAAATGACAGTACTTTTTAGGTATAAAATGACTATTCTTGACTTTAAAAAATGTATTTTAACTTTTCATGACAAAAATACCCCTCAAAACTTCTCTTTCATCAACCCTACCATCCACTCAACATTCACATCCTGTGATCCTCCAATCCAAACGAATCCCAACAAAGCCGAAGGCTTGTATTATCCAACCCAAAATCATCCTCTGCGTTCAAATCAATCCCAAGAACTTCACTTTTATCCTCTTCCGAATCCGACCCGATCCCAACAACCCTCAGATCACCCACGAATTGATCAGCGCCACCGCATAGGGCCGATGACTCGCCGGATTCAGACGCAGAGCCTCTCCTCGACATAAAGAAATCATCACCGCAATCGGCAACCATAAACCCACAATTACCATCAGCATTTAGCAAACCATTCCTATCCATACCAAACCCTAACCCCAAACCAAGATCTAGCTCCAAATCATTCGAACCCATTTCCTCATTCCCTTCAATAACCCCAAAATCCGGATCCAAATTCAGATCCGACGATGATTGCTCAACGCGTTAATGAAACAAGTCTATAACAAAGTAGTTTTTGCGGTCGACGAAATCGACGTCAGTTATCGAATCCATCTCTGCCGTCTCTGTAAAGCCGTTCAACACTCGAAGTCGATTGGAGACCTGTTGATGACGTACTGTGGTGGTTTGTTGGTTGAGATTTGCGGATGGGGATTGGAAAAAAAATATTTAAAGCAATTCGTGAAAAAATTTTAATTTAAATTGAAAACTCATAAAACAATTGTAATTTTGACAAGCGATCCCAAAAAGGGAAGGGTTTAGTATAAATAGATCAAACAACGCGCAATTTCAGTGTAATTTTGCATCAAATTAAACGCTAATTACTCTCATTTGAGTAGTTAATAGGTAGTAGAAATTTCACAAAAACAGGCAAAAGCTCTCTCTCTCTCTCTCTCTCGCTCTATGTAAACCCAAGCAGAAGCTTTTGGCTCACTTCGCGTCTCTCTCAAACAAAGAGACCAATGTGGTTAACGGTCTGGTATCTCACTCGTGATCATCCAAGCTTCTCTACTTATCTTTTTAATTCGACATGCATGTTCGCTTTGTGGGTACGGTGTATCCATTTAAAAAAAAAAAAAAAAACCAGTCACGTTTGTTTGGGATGTCACGTGTCTTCGACATGCTTTTTTAAAAAATCTAAAATATGCTTTTTAATTTGACATGCAAGTTTGCTTCCCGTCTACGGTGTATCCATTTTTTAAAAACAATAATTAAAAAAAAAAAAATCAGTCCACTGTGGTTTTGGAATGTCCAACAGGTGTCAAGCTGTGTCTCACTTTGACTTTTTCGGTTTGTCCGTGCTTTCTAGGTGGGGTTTCATACTAATGCTAGCTTTAGGATTTCTATTACCTCATAACTCGTCCAAAAAAGCCTATCAATTATAATTTACTATTATAAAATTATACATACAGAAATTATTTATGCAAAACTCCACCAGCTTCAAACAAGGTTGGTTTATGTTTTTTCATTCATTTTTATGCACTATGTGTATTTAACCTCAAAAGTTTCTGGGAATGTTTTTTTTTTTTTTTCGATAATTAAAAAGAGAGGTATTTTAGAATACCTCTTATAGAGAGAAGGGAAAGGTTTGGTTTGCTGATACCAAGGTTCGAACCCACACAACCAACAAAGATCCACAAAGACCCTGCCAACTGCGGTACTCGTAACCACGGTGTTTCTGGGAATGTTTGAGCAATACATTGTGTTTCTTTTTGCTTATAAACCTTTAATCTCTTCTTAGCAGCTTGTTGTAGCTTCAAAATTAAAGAAGACATAAAGCAGGAAATGGCTTGGAGTTGGATGGGAAAAGTGATCCAAAATCGCAACCCCGGCCTCTCGAAACGAATGGCAATGAGAGGGAAACTAGGAGCAACAAGTTGAAAAAAACAAGAAAGGCTGATGAGACTGACAATTCATTAGAGATCAATAGGAATGATGGTGCATCTACACATAAGGCAAAGGCACACAGAAGAGATGATGTTGGTCAGTTAGTTAAAATGAATTCTGACGTGAAGGCTTCGAAGAAAAATCAGACAGGACCAATCAAGGTAGAACACAATGAAACAGAAATAGCAAATAATGCTGCAGGCAAGCGTAAGCGCGACAGCAAGAAGAATATTGTGGAAAAGCAGAGCAAAGGTTCCTCAAATCAAATCTCATTGCCTCTTGGCATTGAATTAACAAATGTTGCTAACATTGACATGCCTGCTGAGGATATCGGGGATGCCTTGCAATTCCTAGAATTTTGTGAAGCTTTTGGACAGGTTAAGTGCAATAATTAGACACTGACCTTTGCATCTATTGAACTTCGATGTTTTCTTTTGTATTGAGTTTCATCTGTGGATGTCTGTCCAAGTCTTAATGCAAGCAACTTCCAATTTTTCTGGATTCTGTTTGTTACTCTTTAGGCTCTTCATCTAAACAAAGGTCAGCCTGAAAGCTTACTTCGAGATTTAGCTGGTGGGAGAAGTTCACGTCGAAGAGAGGATTAATCAATTGTTAGGTTTCATATCAAATTGCTCTCTATGATACAAAAGGATTCAGGGAAAGTGTATGTACGTTTACTTACATTACTTGGCAAATTCTATAGGCTTTTCTATCCTAAACACAACTTTTTGCAGATGTCCCTCAAAAACTGGAGTTGGAAATTCATGGTTGCAACATCTTAGTAAATTTATCTCCGAATCCCAGTGTCCATCTAAAGAACTCCTGTTGGATAGTTGGAATGTGGACGCCAATGGATATGAAGAGTTGAACTCCTCAAGAAGGCTCAGACTCCTTAATTTTCTATGCGATGAAGCTCTTGGCACAACGTAAGTGATAATTTGCTACTATGAAATTTGTTTGTATTTTTCTCTTTCAATTGAAGAAAATACATAAATAATTTCATGATTTTTTCTTTAAGAGAGTTAAGAGCTGGATTGATGAAAAAAACTCGGAATTTGTTGAAGAAGAGAAGAAAAAAGCACTTGCTGAGAAACAGACGGTAATTAAATTATCCTGACGACCATCTTTGGGAGAATATGGTTGATATTAAACTTGATATTGGTGACATTATGGGTATGGTGCTTTATGTAGGAAAAGAACATGAAGAAGAGACTGCAGGATGAGGTGGCTAGAGCTATTCTCCTTAAAAAGGGTGCTCCTCTTTCCATTTCTGAGAATGATAATCTTATCTCAAAAATAAAAGCAGAAGTGGCTCAAACTCTTGCAGAGACACTAGAAGCAACAACCATAGGGATGAAGAGTATGTTCTGGTTCCCTGATTCATTAAGGACTTTGAGAATAATTATTTGAAGCAATGTAGGGTATATTTGTTCAAATGAAGCAGCATACATGCAAATGTCTTAAAATTTTGGTACTTTTCATTATAGAATTTTCTAAATTCTTCTGATAATTCTTTTATTGATTCATATAGCTTGGTGTTCCATTTATAGCTATAGAGGTCTTACTATAAATTATGTCTTTGGACTTTTTTGGCTTTCCTCTAATCTATTGGTTTCAGTCAATATCTGTAAGATACCTGTGTTTTAACTGAAAGTGTTTGTTTTTTCTTTAACTAGGATATGTTTTTATTAGTGTCTAGGATGCTCTTAACCATACAGTAATAATTGGTTGATTGACAGGATTTCAACCAATCATTTTGGCCATGGAAACATATCATCATCCTATGGGGAACCCCAACATTTCTGCTGTCATTTTGTTTTGTTTTGTTGTTTCATGCTTTTACCGTGCTTCTTTTAGCTTCGCATTTCATGTGTTAAATCTTTTCACAGTTAGGCTTCATTTCGTTATTACTTTTCTTTTTTCTTTTTTTAAAAATGCTTGTGAAGCAAGGAAAAGAGTGAGTTCATTTTTCTCTTTTGGAAATTGTTATGTAGAAATAAATAACTATGAAGGAAAATGCAGGAGAAGAGTTGGCTGCAAAGCCGGTATTGGTGGACTGCTTCTAGAGGCTGTGGCATCAGTGGAGCAGCAACGATGGGGTTGAGGTGCTGCCAAATATAGAGATGTTCAGGGGTGGACCTAGAAAATTGTATTTGAGAGATGAAGGGGAGTGAGGTGTATAAAATCTTTTTGGTGAGGGCACTGAAACAATGTGTAGACTGGGGAAGGATGTAGTTGTCCAATTCAGTCCTTTTAGAAAAGGCATCCATATGAAAAGCTACAAGCCTACAAGTCACATTGCGTTTCTTTTTCGTTCTTCTTTTTCTCTTTTGAAAAAAAAAAAAGAAAAAAAGAAAAAAAAGAGGAAGGAAAGAGCAATGGAAGAACAAAAAACACACGATGAGCATATATATATATATATATATATATATATATATATATATATAGTTAAAAACAACTAAAAAAGAGAAAAAAAAGAACAAGGTAGGTAAGCAAAGAAGAATGAAGATTATATATATATGAGTAGTGATCTCTTACTCCCTATGGAGTAAGAAAATTCTTCCGCACCTTTTACAGTGACCATTAGATTTATCTATTATCCTCTGTATTTACAAAACCTAACTAACTGCAGTTGTACCCATCATGAACACATACTCGGTAGTACTTCTTCTGTGGTTCACCTCACCAGCAAAGTCTGAATCTACATAACCATGTAGCTTCACTTCGCCCCTTCTGAAACAAAAGCATTTGTCTGTGGTACCCTGTAGATATCTCAATATCCACTTTACTGCTTCCCAGTGTAGCTTGCCCGGATCCTTCATGAACCTGCTTACTGCTTCCACTGCATATGTAATGTCCGGTCTTGTGCACACCATGGCATACATCAAACTTCTAATGGCTGAGGCATATGGAATTTTAGCCATGAAGTTTTTCTCATCCTCTATCTTCGGACACTGATCTTAAGATAATTGGAAGTGATTAGCTAAGGGAGTACTCGCCGCCTTAACATTATTCATTTTGAACCTCTTCAGAACCCGTTCAATGTACTCACCCTGAGATAACTGCAAAATACATTTCTGTTTGTCTCTGCTAATTCTCATCCCAAGAATCTGCTTCGTTGCACCAAGATCCTTCATCTCGAATTCACTAGACAACTGCTTCTTCAATTTGCTAATTTCTTCAAAATCAGAACCTGCCACTAACATGTCATCAACATAAAGTAGAAGGATAATGAAACTTGACTTCAAACTATTGAAGTAGTAACAATGGTCAGTATTGCACTTGCTGTAGCCATGTCGCTTCATAAAACCATCAAACTTTTTGTACCACTGCCTCGGGGCTTGCTTTAAACCATACAAGTTTTTCTTCAATTTGCACATTAGTTTTTCTTTCCCTTTTACTGAGAAACCCTCCGGTTGTTGCATGTAAATCTCCTCTTCTAGGTCACCATGGAGGAAAGCAATTTTGACATCTAACTGCTTAATGTGCAACCCCTCTGCTGCAACAATGTCTGTATAGTCAATGCCTTGCTTTTGTTGAAAGCCTTTGACCACCATTCTCTCCTTGTATCTCTTGGAGACATTATGTTCCTCTTTCACCCTGTACACCCATTTGTTGTGAAGAACTTTCTTCCCCATGGGCAACTTGGCTAGTTCCCATGTTTTGTTAGAGATAAGGGACTTCATCTCATCTTCCATTGCAAGCTCCCACTTGCTAGCATCTTCAACTTGACATACTTCATCATAGCATTCAAGAAAGGAACAATAGGGTTTTCAGAACCTCTCCTTCTTCGCAATCATCTGTGTTGAAGCTCATATGTAATTCAATTGCGGATGCCCTAAGATCTCACAATAATGAAAGCTTCTCACAATTAGCTATGGAATGGGTTTACTCTCCAGCTGCAGTTCGTCCGCCGCCACTTAGGTCAAGCCTCAGTTTGGCTGGAACCAGCGTTGTCACCGGAATTTGCTGTTGATGGTTTTGTTGGGACATCCATTCCTAACCGCTACAGTTGTTAGCAACGGCTATCTCTCACAAATTGTTGAGCCATTCTAGCTCGGTGTTGGCCTCCAATGCTCAGTCTTAGGTTGGGGTTTTATGTACTGCTACTTCCCTCAATGGGCCGTTCTTGGGCCCAACTGTACATCTTATTATTAATCAATATATTTGCTTTATCGCTCTCTCTCTCTCTCTCTCTCTCTCTCAAAAGAAGAAAAAAAAAAAAGAAAGAAGAAGAAGAAGAAGAAGAAGAAGAAGAAGAAGTGGTGGATCCCAACCTCATACCCAACTTATCCCAATGGACTAGACATAAAAAAGGTTGAAAAGTGATAAAAAAATATATATATATCAGATTTATGCAGCCAAAAGGACTTATATTTTTTGCAATCATTATTTCCATGAATCCCGACTATTGGTAGTAGTCTATACAAGCTTGATATCGCTTCAAGAGCCATAACTATTGCACGCAAGTGAAATCTGGTTAGTATCAATATTAGCAAAAAATTTATTAATAATTCCAAAATTTTAATAAAATATTTGTCACTTACAATTTCTTTAAGAACATTAATTCTTTCTTGGAGAACTGTTAACTGATGATGTAATTATTGTACTTTTTATTTTTTATTTTTTTGTATTTTTGATTGCAAACAACTTTTATGTCATATTCTCTCAACTGAATTCAGGCTATTAGTATTAAATGAGAATGCCAGAAGTAAATTATTGATGCTATATTTGTACAAGAACCATGGTATTCCCACCAATGGAAGTATAACAGAAACCATGAGCTGATTGTGATCCATACGTGTGGGAATCGTTTTTCTTTGTCCAAAATAATAAAGCTCAATCTAAGATGTTTTTTCTTTTTTTCCTTTTACCAAGATGTTCGTAATTAATGTTCATGGTACTTATACATAACCAAAACTGTGCAACAGAGAAATTATTATACGGTCTCGGAATTTTCAAAAAATAAAACAATAATCATAAGAACCTAATTACTTGACGAAAGAGAGACGATTACTTTAGTGTGGGAGTTTTTAAAATTTTAATAAAATATATAGACAGTAATACAAATAAAAAAAAAAAAAAAAATTAAATAATCGCAACCACTAAGCCTATGCTAGGTCCGTGGCTGTCCGAACAAATCAAGTACAGACGGTAAGGTTTTGGTGAATGGATAACTCCATAAATTATTTGACCGTCATTACGTGCGCGTGTGCCATTTGTATTGTACTGCTGCATTGGCGTGTGTGGGCCCTCGTATTTATACTTAGGACGTGGTTTGCGATACTCGCAATCACATAAGAGTGTAATTTGATAACAACAAGGCATATGATGCAATTATTGGTATCCAACAGAGTTCCTAGTCTCCTCTGAGCTCAATTGAAACGTGAGATTCTAGAACTGCCTAATCTCCTCTGAGTTTGTGGGCTAATGCTAATGCGATAAAAGATGGATGACCACCAATTTCAATACAGTTCCATGTCCATTTTGCATTGAATTATGCTAATCAATTAACTAAAAATGTAAAATCACACTTGACGTACTGAACCAAGGCAACATATATAGTTTAACCAAAAGAAACACTTGAATTTTGAATAAAACGCATCAATTTCCAGAGCTCAAAATTCATTGGTCAAGGTCTTAATTTATGGAAGCAAAACAGCGAGATTGATGAAGATAATATCAGAGAAAGCAAGAATAAAGCACACAAATGGGTTAACCTGACAGAGAGTTGGGAATTGAATTTGAACCTTCTTCATTTGGTAGAAGTTACAAATTCAATATTTTGATAAAAATTTCTTTGGAAGTTCAAGCAAACACTCACAATATTGCTCCAAAAGGGCTCTAAGGAGAGATCATGTCATCTGGGCTAATATTGGCCATTTGGTCAATATTTTGATTCTTAATCATCCACTTTTTACTATATGTAACACTAATTAAATGACATAACAAAAAAGTTACAATGTAAATCTCTTTTATCACCCATTTACTTGAAACATATTTTGCATCAATTTCAATAAATTCCAAGAACCCAAGTTCTAATTTGCAACACGCTGTCACACACACAAAAACAAACACAAAGAGAGCAAATGATGATGAATATATATATATATATATGATATACCTCTGCGAATGAAGAGAATTAAACTGCAATCAAGGTCCTGAGGGATGAAGAGACTTTTGGGTTCCATGTTGATGAATCCAATATGCATAGGCCTTTCCACAATCCTCCCTCCATAACCCCTCACCAACCTCATGTCCCCAGCATCAGTCCTCACCACATGCTTTGAGTCCCTCAACAAGAACAGCCCTTCTCTCTCTCTCTTCCCCTCTTCTCTCTCTCTCTCTCTCCCCTCCCTTCAGGATCCTCAAAGTAGCCACCAACTGTGGCCACTGCATAGCACATCACTAACACTACTAGCAACAAACCACTTCTCTTTCCCATCTCTTGTAATGCACTCTCTAATTGACACTCTGTTTTTTTGGGTTCTGAAACCACCACTTAATTGTGACTTGTTGAAAAGTGGTGAGGGAGAGAGGAGTTTATATAGAGAAAGAGGGAGAGGCCCATTCTTGGCCGATTCTCACCTCACCTCAAGATTGGAATTGTAATTTCCCAACATCTTTCTCTTTTATTTGTTCATTTCTCATTGATTTTGATTACTTTCTGTTTGGCCACTGAGAAAGCCCGTGGCAAATGAAATGAATGGATGAATGAATATTTTTTTTAAGTTGTCGCTTTATATTTTTACATGACCTCACACCTTCACTTGATTCAAAAGTATTACAGTGATCTTGGTTTTTAAATGAAGTTTCTGATTTACCTCTTTAACTGGTTACTGATAAAAATAAATGTAAATGGTGATCTTCTTGTTTGAACAGTTGAACTGATTTTCAGGTTGGCTTGCCAATTGTTGGTAAATAGACTTTTAACACGCTTGCAAAGTTGTCAAAACCCAAAGACAGATTTTTGAGAAAGATCAAAAAGGAAGAGAAGAGGGGTGGGGTCCGTGAGTGTGTGCACAAGAGAAAATAGAAAACAACTCTCCAATTAGTAGAGATTTAGGGACCTCAGTCCACATCAACATTGGATCGATATTGGTG